GTACACAAAAGCTTTCTAGATTTAGGTAGTTTCTTCGTCAGAGCGAAATTAACCGAAAATGAGTTTAGAACTCGACTAGCGTAAGCGCACTAATAAAACCATGGTCCTCTAACATCATGCTTCACTTCGCCGAAATTAGAACGTTGGCAATTATATTAATTCTTTTGGTAAAACAGTAGTAAAATTTGATGAATCTCATTAAGAGTGGAATCGAATTTAATGACTGCCATGGTTGAATGGTTACGTTGTTCGACGGGTATCCACAATGTACTGTGTTCAAACCTCAAATTCACCATGCATGGAATGACCTTAGACAAGCCACTAACGGCTAAGTTGTCTCGAATGACTCAATCGTAGCGTGCTGATATCTCGTTTGTCAGTACGTTAGATAGGAGGGATGCAAATACCACCGTCTGTAAAAAGAAAAAGACGAGAGAAACCTGCTGCATGTGGATCTCAATAAGAATCGCAGCTGGTCCCTACGAGCGAATACCCTATGGGACATTATTATTATTATAGAATTTAGTATGAGATGTTGTATGATTGGCTGTCTTCGATATTGTAGTGCACTCATAAATATATCTTATAATGTTATATTATTTTTGTTACTCAATTTCTTTTTTATGAGTTAACACATGATTTCAATCTGCGAAATAGTAATATGGTCGTTTAATAACTGGTAATTTCTATTGATGCGTTCATGTTAATAATATTAGTATGGTCATCTCAATTAACTTACATTAGAATGTCAGACTATGTGTGTTTATTGAATAGCAGTTATTTGCATATTCCTATTTTCTTTTGATAGAATAAAATTTTAAAGATATTTTAGCAATGAATATGTCTGTATGTCAGTCTTTAAAATATTTTGTAAATAGTTTTTTTTGTTGGTAATAGTAGTCCTAGTTTAAATCCGTATTCGAACAAGTTCCAAATAAAAACAGATTATTGTTAGATCACCAAATAGTTAGATCTGCCGTCTCAAGCAGTGTTGATGCGTAGATTTAGATATGACGACTATAATTCTTGGTTTATTTTATGTAATAGAATAATTCATTGATTGCCAAATTTCAAGAGAATTCTAAAAAAAGCTATTTCATTACAAAACCTTGTTAGAATTTCAAAGATCCGTAGAATATTTTGTAAAATATCGCAAATGTTGAAGAAGTCACATACATTTCAAGATGAATCATTTCTATTGGGATTAATCAAAAAAAATTAAATAGAAATATGTATATTGAATATGTGAACAATCCATCCGTATGTTAACTAGTAGCACAACTGGAAATTGTACACCAACAGAACGGTAGCTGTTTTAGCATCGTCAGAAATTTAATCTTTTTATTTAATTCAGCTTTTTAAAATTTCTTGAATATGTTTTTAGATGCATACCAACTTGGTACATATTTCGAAGGCAGAGCTTGATAGAATCGAAACAATCTATCGTTGCGTATCACTTGACTATTATTTGGAAATTCAACCCATCAAAGTTAAATAATTCAGCATCAGTTAATCGGAAAATTAATTTCCTTATAATTTCACCATCTTTCTCAAGACTAACGAGGGAACACCCCCATGTGAAGCTCCGCTTTTTACGTTATATTTTGCCCATACACAGGCCCTAGCGAGACCAGGAAAACCCCAAAAGGTTTTCGGTTTTTGAGGCTTTCATGTTGAGATATGAAGTTCACATCTTCTCTAATAGTGCTATGACTTATATTGGAATACGATGCAATGTTGATTTTTTTCACAACGATATGAAATACAGGCTTACAGTTTTTTTTTGCGTGAACTGCATTTTACAGTGGTCATATGTGACACATTTGTTTAGCTCTGACAAAAACTCCTAACCACATATATCAAACTTCCTTGTCTGACACTAGCTTGCATGAAATATCGTTGTGAAAAAATCGACATTGCATCCTATTCCAATATAAGTCATAGCACTGTTAAAGAAGTTGTGAACTTCATATCTCAACAAGGAAGCCATAGAAACCGAAAACCTTTTGGAATTTTTCTAGACTCACTGGGGTCTACATCTGGGCAAAATATCACGTCAAAAGCGAAGCTTCACCTAGAGGTGTTCCCTCGTAAGTGAATTATTCTGTTTAATAAATGCTGACAAAAAGAAAAACTAAAGTAGAATTTATTTGGCATAAATTTACATGTATGGTGTTTGAACAACCATTTAAATGTTTTATTTTGAAAAATTTAAATTTGAGTTTAATTTAAAGTGTGTTTATTTGTTATATCAAAATATTAGTTTTTTGTAAGTAGTATAACAGTAGCTGTAAGATTAATTTTAATGATCATTTTTGCATTGCTATTATTATCTTCTTTCTAATTGTTAATAGTAGATAATACACATATGGCAGTGTACATCTATATAAACTGATGCAATTTATCAGTTAAATATAAAGAAAATAATCGTCAAAATAAATTAACATTTTATAAAGTATTTAAAAAATTGAAGATAATCGAAGCTTTTTTTCTATCGTATTATCAATGATATATGAACAGACTAGTTTAAATGCAATTAATAAAAGATTAAATGGAAAATTACAATTGGTAAAAATGGCATGTTTCACTCATTTTCATAGATAAAATTATTTTGTTTTGTTCATGCGTACATTGAATATATTGTCAAATAAACATTATCCATAGAATATAATAATTTGACAAAAAACTTATTAATATTATTCGGCGGAATTCAATATTTTTTTCATGCTTCATATCATCCAAGGTTTGAATAGTAGTAATCAAGTCGTGCGAATAAAGAGTACCTTATACATCTGACTAAATCTAGATTAAAATTTATTATACTACAAGTTTTTATTTAAATAAGTTTTAGTGAAGATAAAATTTTTCTTTATGATGTGTTTCTTCAAAGAATATTTAGGAAAACAGTGCTCTTGAATAGTAAATTAGATGGAGGAAAATGAATTTTAGTTCTAAGAAAGTCGTTAACAAGTATAGATGTCTCATCTTCGATCACAAGAACAACATATATTTGCGCTGTTGTTCTTTGTTCTTTGACCATGGCAGTGTTATAAAGTATAGGAGTTATTTGGATAAATTATACCAAACATACGATATTGTCGATAAAATATATTGCAGTCGCAGTAGCATACATGCTATACAGAAGAAGGAAGAATAAATCATATAGAGGAAATAATAAGTGTAACATTTTGTACAAAAGCATTCTCTAGTCTATTTGCATCTTTCTCTTATTTGTTCTGATATATACATAGAAACAGCTTGTATAGATATATATATTTATACACATCTTAGATCACTGGCAAAATTGACTATTTGTTGTATCAACTCGTAAAAAAGGTTTGATTTCAGGTATAAATGTATGTATTCATTTCATCAATGAATGTTTCATCACTCTGATCTTATATCTTTAGTTAAGATCAGAATGATATAAAAACAGTTTTTTGATAAAATGTCATCACTTTTATATAAGATAGACTATAATGTGCAACTTATTTCGAGTGTTTTTATGTCGACATAGTCGCTTAAACTAACGACTTTTGATTATCTTTCTACAAATCAGGACTTATGCAAATTCTTTTTTGCCAGAAAGTTTGCATAAATATGAGTAAATGGTCTAACATATCGAAACATAAGTAGATTATTTCTAATCATTTTATAAATCAATGTATTATTTCTCTGCAAAATATATATTTATTGCGTCATTAAATCAAAAATGAACTTTTGAAAAAATTCTTCGTTAATCTCTGTTGTGAAATTGGTGTTTCTTTGTACTCTGTGTCATTATCAATCCTTGACACCATAACTGTTCTTTAATAATTTCGACAAAAACATGCATCATATTTACTAACTAATTTAAGTATTTCGTACAGTTTTAGGTACGGATTCTGATGATTTATCGTATTTCATGGATACTTTTGTTAATGATAATAACTGAGCACCATGATATTTGTTGTAATGCAGAAAAGCACCGAATTTACTCAGAACCATCTGGTCAGTTATGTTTCTGGCAAGGATATGCTCCACTGTGCTTTATCGGTTCTGGTTGTCCAACACAAACAACGAACATGAAAACTAGCAAGTTTGGGGATGGCGCATATTGTTGGATAGGCGTCAAATACTATTGTTGTGTTTAATTCTATTATTCTAAATTCTCTTTTGTCAAATAAAATTTCGATTCAAATAAAATAATTACAAATCTTATCATGTGACATTATCTGTAAATGATCTCAACTATTTTCATTGAAAACAAATGAAGAATACTTTTTCAGAATTATAAAAGAACTAAAGTCGTTTCTGAAAATACATGTTAGCTGCGCAGATCGTGTACTCTTTAAATAGTAGAATTAAAAATCGATTTTTTTTAAATTGAAGAGTTAAAAAGTCATTCTTCTCGAACTACCTAGGGTATACCAAAAGTCTTTACGAAGGTATATGAATTTCTTATAGAATGCTTTCAATGAATAATTTTTTTTCATGCAATTTACTTTTGAATTTTGTTGATTCTCACGAATCAAGCATACAAAATACATATGCCTATTTTTGGTGTTCTTATCGTTTTTCTGTTCTTTATACATATAGCTGCGCATGAACATATATCTAACTTACTATATGGAAAGAAAGTGTGGCAACCAAAACAACAATGAGAGTAATATCCATAGATTTTATTTATCATACTTCGTTTTCTTTTCTTTGGATGACGATAGCCTTTATTTTCAGTCTTGTTACCTCTTTCTAGATATGCAGAAACTTTGTCAACACTCTTGAAATAGAAGACATATTAGAAGCTTGTAATGCGAGAAACAGAAAGCACTCACACACTCCTATAGCAATCGGCTACAAAAAATGGGCAACCAAACAAAGAAAGAAGCAGTAATCTCTCTATATATAAAGAGAAAGAAAGGGATGAAGTCTATTTGTCTTCGTTTTATTATCTTCAACAAGCTTTTGCAATTTTATTCACTTATTTTTGCTCTTTAACAAAGCATATCACCATCTTTACTATGGACAAAAAGCAATCAAAACCAAGTGGTAGTGGTTCTTCTTCGTCTCTGTCATCGTCAGCGACGTCAGATAAGCCAAAAAGCACATCATTGGTACCATCATCGACAAGTGGTGGTGGTGGTGGTGGTGCTGCTGTTGCTGCTAGTATCGGTCAGAGCGGAATAACAAAAACTACGGAGAGAAATACCATGCTGTCCCGACCTATGTGTCGTGTTCTTCGAAATTTCCTGCTGGTTTGGCTTGATGCCACTTTTAATGAGTCCAAAGAGGATTGGAAAAATTCAATACAACTTCTACGACAATTTGTAATAACCATCACCACATTTACAGATGTTGATGAATCTATCGATTTTCTAAATGACACCGAAAATGAAAAAGTATTCATGATTGTATCAGAATCATTGGAACAACATATAATACCAGAAATTTAAGTATTGACACAATTCGACTCAATTTATGTTGTCTGTGGCAATCAAGCGATCCATGAACAGCGGACCAGAAAAATACCCAAGGTAAAAACTGCGTATACAAGCATAGAACCGATTTGTAAAGCGTTACAAATCGATCGTGAAACTTGTAATCGAGCTATGATCTCGATAAGTTTTAATGGTATTGATCCGTTAATGATGTATGCGTAATTGTTAACAGAAGCACTTTTGGATATAGAAGATAATGATAAAAATCGATTAAAGGACTCCTTCAGTAGTTTTGTCTTCAAAATGATGTTTCAAAAACACAATTGAAAAGATCGAACGAGAATACCGTTATCATGCACCCATTTGGTGGTACACGGGCACAGTGGGCAACTTTCGCATACTAGGCGGACATGGAATTTTCGTGCTCGGCAATGGGTTTTTATTGCTCAGAAATGATTATATATCACTTAGAAAATCACCTTTAAGAAAATAAACCATTTCTTGAAAAGAAAATTTTCCCCAAAAATTATCCGTAGGGGACCCTTGCTACGATTTTCGAAAAAAATCTTCTGTTATGAAACATAATGTTGCGCACATTATTCGACGTAATTTCACGCGCTGATTGCGAATATCGACTTAGTTTTTCGTTAGGAAGTTATTTTGTGGAAAAATAGGGATTTAGAGTCAAANAAAATCCGTAACTTCGTCGACGTTCACTATCGCCTTTTGACAGTATAGATAAGGAGAGATTCTACATGGAGGAATATTCACTCAAAGTTTGAGCTGGATTCGATTGAAGCTGTTTGTAACGTTTACAAAATAGAGAAAGCCAATTTGTAGGAACATTTTTAGCATAATAGTCAAAAACGTTTTTTCAAAAAAACGCTTTTTATTACATATGGTTCGATGCAGCTCGATGAGCTGATTCCGAATATCACCTTGATTTTGCACCAAAATGATGCCTTGTTTCCAAAAATAGAAATTTGGGGACAAAAGCCTCAGTTTTTGGGAGACCCATAGCACCGACTGTGCTCATCCGTGCGAAATGGCGCTATGGTCAACGATGAACTAGACGTGGAGGAGTACTTAGTGAAAGTTTGAGATCAATTAGACGAAAATTCTTTTGGGGGTTTACAAAATACGAAAAGACTGGTTTTAAGAACCTTGTTGGGCACAGGTACCGGCTTTTTTTTTCGAGAAACATTTGCTGTTATATATGATTCGATGCAGCTTGACGAGCTGATTCCGAACATCACTTTGGTTTTGCATAAAAATACCTCTGTATTCGCAAAACTAATGATTCCGAGGCAGAAGCCTGGTTTTTCAAGAAACCACTAGCACCGTTTCTGTTCACTGGTACGACACAGCGCTATGGCCAACAATAAATCACATATAGGAGAATAATTGGTGAAAGTTTCAGCTCAATCGCATTAAAAACCTTTTGGGGGTTCAAAAAAT